GGTATCCTGACTGGGGCGCTTGCTGCGGGTGTCCTGCAAGATGAAACACAGAAAGATGGGGCCGGGAGATGGCTCAGTGGAATAAGTGCTTCCCAGACCAGTGCAAGGGCCTGAGTTCAATCCCCAGGTCAGCCAAAAAAAAAGAAAAGAAGAAACAGAAAGAGCAGCAGCCCCAAGTCACTGGGCTTCCCATGATTCCAATACTCATTAAAACTCTATCACTAAATAGAAGCCACACGATGCACGGTCTGGAAACAAACTGCGCCTAAACACAGCTTCCCAACCACTGATCTCAAAATCAACACACAAAAATATACAGAGAAATCTAAAGGCTGCTGCAGAGAGACCAGTGTTTTGCTGAACATCAACAAAAATAGCAAAAAAAAAAAAGTTTTCTTTTTAGTAGAACTGCAAGTGGAAGAAGGGCCCTATGCCACATGGATGTAACGAACATTCTAGAGACAAACTATAGGGTCAACGCTCCATCTCGTTACAAGATGGAACTGGCCCAACATTTAGAAACACTCCTCCTCCTCCTCCTCCTCCTCCTTTTTTTTTTACAAACCCTTCTGAAGCGAGCCTGAAGGTGCCACCCGGGTGCCCCCACCTGCTCCTGGCTCAGCCTCGTCCCTTGCTCAATGACCACGCCTGCACCCCTAGAAACGCTCTCACTTGCCACAGAGCTGAAGAAGTCCCTTAAAAATTACTATGCACTACGACCAATAAGTTCTCACACGACGCACACTTTAAAAGTTCTATAAACTATTACTGCATATTGTCTCCAATACATCCCTTAAGATCTGCAATATGGACAAAGCGTAAAATCACACACAAATAATAAAGTTGGAGAAAATAAGCAGGCTATGAGGAGAAGTATACTCAGATTCCATTTAGGTATTCTCAAATTATATGCTTAGTGAAACTATTTTTAATCTAAGTAAATTAATTCTAAATTTAAAAAAAATCTACAAAAATTCCTCCTGAAAATGTGGAAACAGTAATATTTTGCAAATCTTCCGCGCCCCACCGTCACCATTGCGCGGCTCCGAGGGTCCTTCCCACGCAGCCGGCAGCCGGCAGAAGTCGCAGAGAGCCGCCCAGGTGGCTGCAGGTGGCTCGGCCACGTGCTCAGGACCCGCAACAGAACGGAAGTCCCGCCCTCCTCGCCTCGCCTCATTGGACGGTTCGTACAGCCCGCCTCTTCGTAGCTGATTGGCTCCTGATCCACGGTCCCGCCTCTGTGCAAAGCGGGGCGGGAGCGGACGCTTGCCTGCGGGTGTAGAGATGAAAGGA